TGATAAATACCAATAGTTATACAAATAGTAATTTTAAAAGTAAATAAATGTCGTAAACAGTGTACATTTTATAGTTCGCAAAAAATTAATTTGTAACTTCATGTTTCATTTATTATTTATAATTCTGTACATTTGTTGATACAGTTGTATTTCGAATCATTGATTGACCCTTGATAAATGCCAGTAATCTTATATTCAATAGATGTGTATAAATAAATAATTTAAACCAAATAAACGGTAAGCACTAAATAACGTGCATTCCGTGGAATATAATTATTTTGGTGAACGCATAAGGACGAGGTTGTTTTCACAATAATGACGAAGTTCGTGGAGAAGATGATCCAGAGATTGCAATTGCGATCGAACTGGTAGGGATAGAACCAAAATCGGTGAATCGGTATAAGAGAAGAACGAATACTAAAGCAGCGTCAGTTTTATTGACTTTCTTTCAGGTAGCACGTGGAAGAGTAAATTCCACTCTTAGCGAATCTTAATCGTCTCACATACGAGTCCTTCGATCACGTAAGTTTATTGTTTAAACATTATTTACCGTTAACCATTCACTTTATAAAGTCACGTATATTTATTCCTCTATAAAATTACTAACAATAACATCCAGGTTTTTTACATTCGAAAATATCTTTGTTCAAGCTTTCTTAAACACATGACTCTGTTATGTTATATTACTAATTATGATATTTATCGATGGAAGAATTTTGAACATTTTTTTACGGAAATTTCTGTGAAAGTTTATCGTTTAACTTCGAATACTAAATAAAAATGAGTACGTTTCACGTGGATATTCTCCAGCGTCCAACATTGTTCTCGAGTGAAATCCAATATTTTATTATGTAAGTTTTCCCGTGTAATTTTTATTCATAAGTTTATGCACAAGGAATTCACACTTTCTTATCGCTAGGCTAATTTTTTCACAACAGTTTCTCATTCAAAATTATGTGGCAAGTCGACTGCTTGTGAAAGCGTTGCGAATCGCTTTGATATTGTCAATCTACTTATTTTTTTTTATAAAATTCCAAGTGGTCTAATCGAATCTCGTGCAATTAAAAATATAGTGACACAAATATTCATTCGCAAACCTATCTTTAACATAAAAAAGAAGTTTTAAAAATTGCCGTACGTTGACTGTTTTTTTACTTTAATCGTTTTTTGTTCGAAAATATATATTCGTATTTTTCTTAATTTTAGCGTTAAAAAATGATATTTTCAACAGATTCTTGTATAATCGTTTGTTCAAGAAGCAAGCTTTGTTAAACGTACAAGTAAATTTTATGATTTAGTAAGGCATTTATTAATGTAATTCCTATACATAATTGCACATGTATGGAAAATCTTATAGTGAAAATCTTTTATTTTGTTTGAGAAGAAAAGAAAGTGTGTTTTATGTGATACTTTTCTCTTTGCAATTATCATTTTCATGTAGATTAATCTTTTTCGCAATTAAAATTCAATATTGTTAAGAAATATATTACAGTATTCGCGTATACTTTTACTCAGAATTTCTTGCGGAAATGAGCTGTCATTTTTTGCCGGGCAAGTTTTTCTTACGATACTTTTTGTCCAGTGTTGAATTTATTTATCGAATGGATTGACTATGATTTAATGAAGGTGTCGTATATCCTGATNATCCTGATTTTTAACAACTTTCTCTTTTTCTTACAGTGTCTTAAATTAAATAAATCTCTTACATTTTACTATATCAGTTAATTATTATATTTTTTATGTATGATGTTTGATATTTTTCAATTTACAGTAATTTTATG